AGCTATCACAAGCACCCACAAAAAGAAAAGAGCCTGCTTGAAACAAACCTCTCAGTCTGCCAGGTCTCTTTTCCAAGCAATCGCACAACTTCTTTCTCTAGCGGAGCTTGTTCTCTCCATTGTTACTTTGCATCCTTAAACCTGTCCTGTTTAGAGAGGCCATTTGATGTGAAGGGAACTTGGTAGGTCACATGCTAATACTCGTGTAGGTCCTCTTAGCTACCAACAAAATGATCTTCAAACTAATATGACTCAGTGCAACTTCACACCATTATTTAACAACCTTCCTAAGCCAGATCCTGATGCAGAAACCCCAGGAAAATTATTTTTGCTTCGCTTTTATTCTCTACATTTTGAATAAATATTGTTTTTATTTTTTCCTGGAAGGGAACACTGTGATTGAGTATCTCTTCCCACCTCCCACTCCCCCCCTCAAACAAGAAAAGCAGCCAAAATGTATCCGAACAAAATAGAGAAAAGCATATGAACACTATCAGGCATATTAGATTTAAAAATGAGACTGTCTATAGATTTTGGACACTGACTCAGAAATTTCAAGATCAATGACAAGAGTGAAATATTTGAATAATAAACACCAAATACACACTAGACTTAAAAGAGGATTTTTTTGTGAATCCACAAGAGGGAGCTCTAATAACAGGGATGATGATATATGTATATAATTCCCTTCACTGCTCAGGGAATTTAGCTCTCCATCTGAAATGGACTGGAAAGTGGAAAACAATAACCATTTGGCTCTAGGAACATTGTTTGCACGGGACTGTTTCCAGCTATTGCAAGGCATCTTCCTTACAAATGTGGTTCTTTTTTCTACTTTCTTCTTAAAGACCCAGGAAGTTGTTTTGGGGCAGTTGAGGACTCTCTTCTTGTTGCAGAGTTCTCATTAGTAGCTGAAGTGTCAATCCAAGCGCAAGAGTGAACACAAAGTCATCAGGTGGTATAACAGATTTAAGACCATGTCAAAGAAGACCAAAGCCCAATGGGATTTAATGATCCTTCACTTCAAGAAAGAAAAGTGGGATCCTTGTGGTACACCCGTGAATTGGAATATCACTTGCAAATGTGATGGCCAAGTAGATCCATAGGAGGTGTTGGCCAAACCTACAACAAACAAGAGTCAAGTGCACTGCTAAACCCATGTATCAGTCTGATGAAGGGCGTTCGTGCTCAAAAGTTTGCAAAGAAGAATTTTTTCCTACTATTTGAGTTGGTCTAACAAAAGATACCAGATTTACCCAAAGAACCTTGTCTGCCTATGTCCTTAGACCAACACAGCTACAACCTACACCCCTAAACCCACTGACTGTCTTTCAGATATGCTGTTACAGCCACACACAACTTCAGGAACGTCCTCAGAGTTTCCCTCTCGTGACAGCCTATCTGGCTGACGTACTGTAAGATAAATATGTGGCTTCCTACAAAATCATCGGCACGTAGCTTGCGACTCCCTGCTGTGTACATCATACTTCAGTCAGCCTAGGTGAAAGCTCATCTGGCTGTTAGCCTTTTTTACCACACAGTTAAGATGGATAGTGTGGCACTGGAGTTTTAAAGGTCCTGATTCAACCCTGGGTTCAGACCAATTTCTTCTTTCTAGAACGTAGCTAAAACAGTGGTCGGCAATGTAGACGCCCACCAATAAGAGAATGGGAAGTTTTATGCGAGTCAAGGAAACAGGATCCTCTTCTTCATGTTGTTCATTTACTTTTGATCCTCTGACACAAGTAATGATGTAAAGCAGAAAGACCAGGTCTATTTTTGTTGTGGACTCATCAGGGGAATGTCATATATAACTGGACATCTGGGCCTAGGGACACACTATCAATCGCATCCCAAATGGACCCCAAAATCCCAAACCCAAACCAGTGACTGTTTAATTTTACTATGCCTAGTGTTTGATTTCTTTCTCTCACACACTCAAACTCACACACGCTATTTCTTCCTCCTCATTTCTGTGTATTTTTGTATTTCCCAATTTTGGTCAGAATCAGATACACAGGTCCTGAGACTTCCACGAGGAAAATCTGTCCTTCCGTCATGGTCTGGCCTAGTCGAAACATGACAAGAGTTAGGCTGTGTTGGCAAATGCCCTAGGTTCAGTTCATGACCAATGGGTTTTGATAAGGTTAGATAGACTACAGGACTCCTTGTGCCAGCTGCTATCTTTTGAGGACCATGCCTAGCACAAAGAGAGGGATGTCCCTGATCGGAAGAACATGGCTGTGGCCAGGGGAGGTAGGCACTCATAGACACCGGTGGCATGTGATACAATAAGAAATGCTCACTTGCTGCTGCGGCAATGCAATTCAAAGAGGTAACGTGAGCGAAACCCAAGCAGAAGGTCCAAACACAGAGTCTCCCTCCCCGTCCCCAAAGACACCGCCGGTACACAAACTCAGCACATCTCGTCGGCCATGCGTGAAGAAGCCCTGTTCATCCCTGTTCTCTCAGCCAGGGTGGTCGTCTGTGTGGAAAGCCTAAAGCAAACAAAAGCAAGCTGGAGCCAGATGTTGGGAGGCTTTCAGGTTCACTTGGTGTTCCTGGGGTAGGCGGCCCATACACGCCTGAGCTCCCCGCTCGAAGGACGGACCCGTCCGAGCGACCGGACCCCTCGCAAACCTTCCCCTCTGCACGGGTAAAATGCCTCTTTACTTGCTCAGAACCATCTGAGCAAATATGGGCCCTGCACAAGATGTCAGAAACTGCTGATCCATCAAGGTTATGCCAAACAAACCCTGCTGAACAATTTACAGTTTGACCCCACATTGCGCCTGAGCTCAGTAAACAGATCCTCTGAAAGGCCTTTTCTTGGATTAGTTACATTTCATGCCATAAATGTGAGGCTAAATTAGCCAAATCTATAGCCCTCCAGCACCTCCTCTCTCCTAATTCTTGTGGGAGTGATCACTGCGGGACACCATCCTTTGGGGTGGGGGAAAGTAGAAGCCAGTTCGTGCGAGCCAAACAATTGTCTTTTTTCATGACACCAGTTCTCATTTCTAGCTTTGCAAATGGCATGCATTTGTCATTGCCAAGTGACTTTTCCTCTGTGCCTCAGCTTCCCAATTTGCAAAGGATTGGAACATAACCTGGTAATCTGCTCCGAGAAAGGAGTAGCATGTACGATGAAGTGCAGAAGAGCACCGAATGCACCCTCATAAGGGAGGGAGAAATCTTTATGCAGAAGGATAATAGAAGAAAAAAAATATTCTTATACAGTCGATCCTGCTGTTTTTCCAAGCACTGTGACAGCACCTCTGTGTTCATGCACCATGACATAGTGTGTTTTGAATTTGCCATCTGCACAAACTATCTCCTAATGATACATGGGAGAATCCAGTATGTTGTTTCCATATGGAATATATTATGGGTGGATAGATCTGCATATATACATATATATCAATTGAAGCTACATGTGTGTTTTTAAAGTTCTGACCAGACTCATCATTTGTCTTTCCTTATCGAAGGCAGAACATTAACATGCTATAAAAATGGGGTTGTGTTTACTTTTCTCTTTTTTTTTTTTAATTTCTTCAAGTGAACAGGCAGATTTCTGTGCTAGTAGAGGCCAAACCAACTGGAGGACAGCAGGTCTTCTGTCCGGTGGCAGGTTTTAAAATTTGTTTTCATTTCACACTGGAAACTCCCCCCTGTCCAACAAAACCTTTAAAAAGTGTTTGCAGAGACAGGGTGGTGTTAACGTGTCCAGTGCCTGCGATTTTGATCTTTGGGAAGAGCTGCTGCATGCTTGGGCTATGGAAGACCCATTGGGCTTTGGCTTGGGCTATGGAAGACCCAGGTTTAAATCTCAATCCCAATATCCTTGTTTAACACCATTTGTGAGCAGCTGTCTTTCCCACGCAGCTTTAAAAAATGTTTTATAACTAAGGGTACATTCCCTTTTCAGGGGCTTGATTCATTAAAGAAGAAATTAGTGAAAGAAGTCGCATAGCAAAGCCTCTTCCCTGTGCACCCCTCCTCCCTCCCTCCCCATAGCACCACGTCTGCTTGGTAAGACAATGAGCCACTTGCTTTCGTGAGTCAGTAGGATCCTCTTCCAGTAATTTGGAGAGGCGTTTCAGTCTAATACTGTTATAATTTGCTGCCCAGATTTGAAAACTGTGAAAAAGAAGGAAAAATGACGAGCTGTAGAATATATTGTTGGTGGCAGCAACAAGGGAAGCAAAAAAATAAAATAAAATAAAATAAAATAAAAGAAGGATAAAGCCAGAAAAAAGGCAGTGTCTCCTCATTCATCAAATGTTTTTTGTTTGGAAGTGGGGATGAGGTGGTGACCTGGAGTGAACTAATCTCCCACTAAATGTTCCCTGCTATCCAAAATGCAAATCAGTAGCAGATGAACTGGATCCTGCTTTTTCATAGTAGATGATGACACATCACGGCAGCCAAAGCTTCTTAAATCTACCTCCCAGCCTTGAACGAATAGGATAAGAAATGAAAACACCCAAGCGAAGCTGACTAAGGGATACCATTTAGGTTTATAAATTCACCGTATCACTAGGCTCGGGGTTGTGTATTAAACACGAAAATGAAGCCCACACCCTAACAGTTGCAGAGAGAGCATGGGATTCACACTCACGTTCTACTTTTGTAAATCCTTTGATTTTTACTGGTCATTCCTGATTACGACCACTGAATGGAAACTCAAAAAGGCCCTTCACCCCCCAAAACAGCCAATGATGACTCTGAAAGTGCCAGATCTCCAAATGGCATAAATTGTCTTATCTCCACTAAGCTCATCAGAGCTGCAGTTTTATACCAGCTGCACCACTAGCACCAGAAGTACACGTTGATAGAGGCAAATGAGAGCAAAGATTGAAAAAATGTTAACGTCTTTATCGTTTCCATTCATTTCTATGGCTGGTCACTAGAAAACCTCCACAACGTTAGTTGGTCGTCAGACAGGGGCTTAGTTTGTGTTGATCTCTGGCTCATTGTGGCCAAGTGCATCTAGCTACCTGCCTTCAGGACACAGTGTAGTCTGCAAATTGCTAGGAAGACCAGTCATATAGCTCCAAGTCTGCATCGTCACAAGGGGCATGCATGCAGTGCTGATATCCTGAAATAGTGTGTGAGCACAATATTGAGTTTGCTGAAGACTGATTTGAGTCTATAAAGCTCAAGGCAGTGCTTGCCAGAGACACTGGAGCTAGAAGGGCTAGTTAGCAAGTGGATTTCTCACCTTACACGAGCGCTGCACCAACATGAGTATGCTGCCCCTGTTTCTACATCTAGCAGGTCCAGATGTCGCTTGGACATGGCTGCGTTACCTTGCACTGTATAGTCATACCCAATAGGTGGTTTGATTTATAAATGATAAGTGGTGGTGCTTTGCTCTTTCATATACTTTTTGCTACCTTTTCAGGATTTAGCCCTTACGTGCATCTTCCACTTCCTTCCTACCTTGACCTGCCCTCCCTGGTGGGGGGAAAAAAAAGGACAGAAGATGTTGCACTGAAGATAAGGGAGAAGAAGGTCTCCATGAAAGAAAGGAGGGAGCGTAAAACTGTCAGCTGCATGTGAGCTGGAATTCCCACGACCCTCAAGGTGAACTCTGTAAATAGACTTGGCACAAGGTCTTGCCTTAAAAATAGGGTTGGAAGCGAGGGGAAAGGAGCAAGTAAGTAAATAAATAAATAAATCAACTGCCTCAGCTGAAGGCCCGCAGGACGTCGAGCACAACTGCTGTGGTAACCACCCCTGCCCCAGTCCCCCCCGCTTTGGACTCTCTCTGATAAAACCAAAGCATTTGCAGATTTATGGCCCTCTTTATTCCGAATGGGGAGCAGAGCACGCAGGCTGCAGCAGGCCGAGGGAGACGAGGAGATGGTACTAATCTGCAATGTATTCCCATTGCAAAGGATCATTTATGTTCACAGGAAGGTGTAAAAGGGCTTCAGTGTACAATTGCATCAGCCCGTTACCTGCCAAGGGTGCAATCCTTGGTGTTTTTAGGGTGCGATCTGATAGTAAAATGGCAGCAAGAAGTGTTTCCGATACCCACATTTAACTGTCCCTTATAGGCCGCTTGCAGCCACTGTTTTGCTAGGAAAATTAGGAATTACACAAAGGGCTCATTTTCCCATCACGTGCCGTTACATACCACTCTTATGACACCCGCCTACTCAGATCAAATGACCTAGAGTTAGAAAGAAACCTGCTGCTTCAATCCAGGGCCCCCGTTTTGTCTACACACGCTCATTGACCTAAAGATAGAAGGAAACGGGACTAAAATTTTACCAGCCCAGACAAGGGTTGCCATCTATTTTCCATACGTTCCTCGATCTGCTCCTGCTGTCCAAACGATTTAGTGCTTTATCTCACTTGGACCATCTTCCCTCCCTCCAGCTCCAGTGACCAATCCACATCCCCACCATGGCTGATGATTTCTTTAGGCTTTAACTCCTCTCTCTTGAATGGTCTCTGCCCCATCAGATGTTCTCCTAGTTCCTCCAGGCTCTGTGGACTTTTCTTCCACCCCTCTTTCTCAGCTTTTCTTGTATCTTAACAGCTTTACAATTTGACTATTATAGAATCTGCTGCCCTGCTCTGCCTCCGGTTTGATATACTGGACCACATAAAAGTTGTCCATCTGCTTGCTACAGCACTGGGCTGAAAATTATTCCCTTCTTTTTGGCAGCTGTGGAAATCAGCTACAGTCCTCAGGACGGATCTGAGCCAGGACTCTGCACTGATTGCAAAAACAGGCCTACAGTGCCATTCCCACCTAAAATGTCCTACGGAGCAATCCCTTCGCAGAGCACACTGCATGGGAACGAGAGCATTATTGACAGCAGTGTTTTGAAATGGGGATTCAAAAATGTGTAACTGTGTAACTGGCAGAAAAGTCTGCAGCATCATGTATATAGCCAACGGGGTGCCTCGTGGGACTTTATGTAGGCTGCAGCATGTAACCCTTAGGGGTAAACTGGCTAAAAATATCTTTTCTCAATGTTGCAGTGAAACAATTATTTCCCCCACTTTCCATTCCCTGCAGTTCTGGGATGTTCCAGCAGAAACCTCTTTCCCTGCTATCTGCTGTGCTCCAGAAACATTGCTGAGATTTTTTTTGCCCTAGACATGACTTGGTGGTTTGCATTCGTTTCAGTTGTTTGAGTCCTTTGCTTCCAATTTTGGATGCCCAACTTCTCATACCATTTAATCCAATCCACTTCTTGCCCCATCTGGTCCATATGGCAAAGGTCAGAAGTTGCCAAGCAATCCTATGGCCAAGGCCAGCTCCCCTTAATTTCTTCAAGTTGCAGCTCTGTGAAGTTGTGGCTCTAGTCATTATTGTGCTGTGATGTGTTGACCTCTCTTTCTTTTGCCTTGAGCTTGTTTCAGGAGCCTGTTACTCCCCATTCTCCAAACATTGCCAAATTAAGTCCATCTTCTCCTCTGGATTATTTGTGCAGCTGTGAGCAGTCACACCCACTCCAAGATGTCACCGTACTATATTCCCTCTGATTGTTTTACTCTGAACATCTAGCACAGGGATCCACACTGGAAGCTCGGTGCCAGAACAGCCTAATGCTTAGGGCCTGGACCGTGGGACAACCAAATTAAAGTCTGTGTCCTGGGTTAGTCACTGATCTGGGGCCTGCGCTCACCATCTTCCCAGCAAGGCTAAGGACAGATGTTACACATAAATGAGTTTAAGTGATCAGAAACTGGTTTAAACCTGTAACAGAACAAACATTCAGTGCACATAAACCAGTTTCCAAATGGCTGAAACTGGTTCAAGATAAACCTGGCTGAATGTAGTATCAGACTTAACTGATTCGGGTCAGACCAGTTTATGCAATATCTATTGCAGAGCTGCAGGTTCATCTAAACTCATTTGTTCTGTTCTGGCAAAGAAGATAAAAATCATCATTAAAATGCCCATCCAGCTCTTGGTGGCACTCATGTCTGCTGAGCATTCAGCAGTCAGGTGCTGAAGCTGCTCACAGGGACATGAGCGCTCGGTACATCCCTGGAGATGCTTCAGGCCACGGAGGATTAGGCTCCTACAAAATATTCCCCACTGAATGTTAACTGCAGCGATGCAGAGATGTTGTCTTGAAATGCAAACCAGAAAGGCACAGTGTCTTCGGTGGCAAAGCCGTGTGCTGCATACAAACAGAAGCGCTCCAGCCCCCTGCGTGATGCTGATTTGCATTACAGAGGAGATCATATCCTCCAAGACGGGGAGGGGGAACAAATCAGCCTCCTGCCTTTAACGAGATTGCAAATTTCACACCCCGGCTGAGTTGCCCACCTTTTATTTACTGTAAGGCCTGGCGTTTCCACCGGCAGCACGATTGTGTGTCTCTGCACAATTAAAAACCCTGGCTCTCCTCCACTCAAACAAAGGCAGGCAGGCATTCCCTTTCGGCTGCCTAGAAGCTGGATTTAGCTGTTTGCCAAAGCATGGAAGCATCTGCTTGAGCCATCCAACCCCTGACACTGTCCCCCTAGAGCCAAATATCCAGACATTGTCATTTCAATGCAAGAAGCTGGATGCATTTATTAATCAACCTTTTACTGAGCGGAAGTCTGTGGATATAGTCTAGAAACCCCCACTCGGTTTCTATCACGAGACTACACAAAAGAACATTTTCCGCCACACTCACTCTCTCTCCTTTTTCAGTCAAAGTGAATGCTGCTGCTTTTTTTGTTTGCTTGTTTCTTTAGACTGACCGGGATTTTGCATGGCTGTATCAGAAAGCTGGACGTTCCTCTTTGCTTCAGAAGCATTCGGTGATGGATCACATTTTAATTGGCGTAGAGGTTTACCGAAAAAGGGGGCACCACAGGAAATTATTAGAATAACAACACTGCACATCTGCACAGGAATTGAAACAGCAAATGTAGGGGGCTTATTGATTGGTACCAAATGTTTTGTGTCCCCTCCCTCGTCCCTCACCCCCTTCGGTAAAGTAGTTGAACACAACAAGGTTTTGGGGGGGGGTGTTTTTTGCTTTGCTTTTTTTTGTCTTTCTCCTCCAGGAACAACTGCAAGAGTTTTGATTCTTTGAGGTTTGACAATGTTAATTTATAATAACAAAATCTAGTTCTTCCATGACATGTTTTGTCTGTCGATCTCGAAGTGCTTCCCAGGAAATAAAAGCATTATTTTTTATTATACAATGGGTTGTAGAGAAGGAAGTGATTTGCCAAGAATCACTGAGGCAGGCATGGAGTAGAGCCATGAGTGAGAGTCTCAGGGTGTTTTATCCATTTGTTCAGACTTAGGGAGGATAAGTCTCTGTCTTTTCCTCCATGGAACTGGGTTTGTCAGAAAACCAAGAAGTTGGGGGGAAAAATCAGCTGAGAATCGAAAAATAGTCTTGGAATAATGGGAACAAAATATTATTTTTCAGATTGGCAGAAAAAAGGAAACATTGATTTCTCCCAGCTGCAACTTGGAAACAAAAAAAATCTTAAAAATGATGACTATAAAAATTAATATCTGTGAAAAATTGACTAAAAAGCAAAAAGTGCTAAAAAGTGAAAATATATTAGAATACAGACAGTGTATTAGTATATTAATATATTAGTATATATATAATTTTTGTATTCTATTATATTAGTATATACAGTATATTAATAATACTTTTCACTTTTGTAGCAGTTTTTGCTTTTTAGTCAATTTTTCACAGATATTCATTTTTACAGTCATCATTTCTAAGATTTCTGTAGCTTAGTGTGACCTTAACGCAACCTCCTCTTTTGTGCATGCATTGTTATAAACCCATAGGATTAGCATGTTCATCATTTGTTTGATACTTGAATATGCATGAAGTACATATGAGAAGAGAGGTCCATCGAATACATTTGGTCATTGCTTCTTTAGCATCATCGGTTACTATGCACTTCATATGATGCCTCAGATCTTCCAGGTGAACGACAAAGACCTGCCATCACAGATCAGCAACATGGAAGGAAACAACTGCGTTGAGAAGCAGCCTATCATATGCTCCACTCCTTAGGGTGGCTCATCCAAGGTGCAAATGCCTTGCATCATCCTGCTTAGCAACTTGGCTTTCTTCCCAACTCAGTTTGGCTGCAAAATGTCCAGTGACACAGGTGGGATTTTAGGGAAATAAACAGCGCCGTGGGGACATCAAGCACTTGTTGATAAATTTGAGCGCAAGCTTCTCCGTGCCCCACTTCTTCTCTCCCTTCTTGCACATCTGTGACTTTGGCCTCTGGCCTAAAGGAAGGACACAGAGCCGAGATAAAGAGATTGGAGCCAAGAAAACAGACGAGAAATATTCGTATCAGGTGGGATACAGATGAACATCTGCATGTAGAAAACAAAAGCCAAGATCTGGGTCCCTTCAAACTGAGACGTCTGTGCAAATGCCGTCCTCAAGTGGACGTGGGTGCATGCCTTCTGCCTTCCACTTAAAGCAACAGCCCCCTTCATTTTGTGGGGGGTTCTTGCCATGTCCTATTCCTCACCTGGCCATTTTACAAGGTCAGTGGCATCCCTTTGCTGTAGCATCATCCACCAAGCCTGGTGCAGTCAGCGAAGCCATTCACTTCAACAACTAATTTAAGGAGGATCTCACCCCTGTTCCTTTGTTTCCAGGCATTACCTCATAATAATTGTTTCTAAATCACCAGTATTTTCACTGCTCAAAACCAATTGCCCTTATTTTGAAGGATAAAGAGAAGTGACACTAGATGACAGCTGCAACCGGTTGCATTTGCTGGGCGTTCTCTTTGCTCGATGTCATTGGTGAATAGTGCTGGCCAGGGGTGAGGCTAGGGGGAAGAAATATTCAGGCTCCTGATAAGGCACACCTCCCTTCCCCAAACCCTGAAGGCCTGCCTGAAATACTGCAATTAGACTTCCCAACTGAGGCAGGTCATGACTTTTCCAATGAAATAGTCCCCTCACTCCACTGGAAAATGAAAAGTCGTTAAAATGGAAGACATTCACGAGGAAGGGTCACTTTCAACCACCCTTCCCATCAAAAATAAAGTTTTTTTTTAAAAAAAAAGGTTTGACTTTTATGGTTGGAAACAGCTTTCCCCTTCTAGAAAGTTTAGTAAGGGAGCTAAACTAGTTTTAAACAGAAACAAACTTTTTTTTTTTAGTTGAATCAATCCAATGCATTTCTCAGATTGTTGCTTTGTGGCAGTATTTGATCTTTTGACTTCATCCTGATTCAGGAGTGGTCAAGTATTTGAAAGCTCAGAATGTCTTGTGGGATGGAAATCTCTTTCCTGCCCTGCTGTACCTTCCAAGCACTTCGGCTGGGCCTGTGGGCCTGGATTTACTTCCTTAACGATAGAGGAAGGGGCTACAGTTTTAACTCAAGTTAGAGCCTGTCAGTGCTAATATTTGAGTTTAATTAATAAAGGCAAGTGCCCTCTGCAAAACTTAGGGCCATCCCATGTTAGGGTTATGTATTAAAAAAAAGAGGATCTGCATCTGCTGATTTATTTTGGACTTGTACAAACTTTATACGTTTTAATTCATAGCCTGGCAAACATGGGGTAAATCTGTCCACACATCTGGGAAGTCATTATATCTTCCCATTGACAGCTGGCCTTCCTCACTTCTCAGCCTCAGCTCAGGGCATATTTTGAAATCATTTAAGGAACAAGGCTCAGCTCTATGAGAAAGCACATGTGCATATCGATGCACACAGCCACAATCCTCAGTTCATTCTGTGTCCTTCATTTCATCCTGACACCCACGGGTTTCTGCTTCCAAAATGCTCAGTATTGCCCTAACTTTCCCCAGGGATGGCACTATTAAAACTCCCATTGACTTCACTACCACCAACATTTGGAGGTTATGAAAACCCTTAAAATATATTTTGAAAGCACTAACCAAAGTATTTCATTCAAAACCAGCAGAAAAGTGTTTCTACTCCAAACCTTCCAAAATCACTGAATACCACCCCAAAAAATTTACAGGTGGGTTATTTTTCACTTGACTCTTTTTGGGGCTTCCAGTGACTGTGAATTCAGTTCAATTGTCATTATTATATTGACGCTTGCCTTTTTTTCAGCTCAGTTGTCATTATTATCTTGACACTTGACTTTTCTTTTCACTCCATGTTGAATATTAAATGTTAAATATGTTGTACTATGTTCTTGAAAAATGAACAATATTTTTGACCTAAATATATTGTACTAAGATCTTGGAAAATAAAAAAAAAAACTCTACAATTACAAAAATAACAACCCGGGTGAAGAACACGTACTTTAGCTAGTAACTATATATACCCTAGCAGATATACCTTGGTGTTCATAAGACAAACTCTAATCATGTTGCTGAGTATAGAGAAGGCATTTCTTTTCTTTAAAGCTATTTTTTTATTGCATATATCCAATTTTGTCAGTCTCCTATATTGGAACTTTCATATCATAATGAACAGGCGAATGTGCATGCAAACCACACCTCCTCCTGGGTGGTATCTGAACTGCACAAGTGCATATGAAAGGGCACAAGATGTCAACAGTTCGCTCCTCAGCTCACGTAAGACAGACCTGTTCACCTTGAGGAGGCTGGGAGTTTTCCTTTTTCCTCAGAAAAAGAGAGCGTATGTAATTTTGGAGCAGGGTGGTGATTCATACTTTTCAGACCCTGGGACGTCCTTTGATCCTCTATTTTTGACTCCAGCCTTTGGATGAGCAAAGAAGGATGCCATTGGAGTCTAGAGAAATCCCCCATGCCAGGCTGCCAGGAAAAGAAGAGAATCGTATACAAACCTTAATAGTCATCAGTGGGAAATGGGATCTTTAGGCCTAAAATTATGAGCTTTAACAACTTGACTTGGAAGACTGAATCAAAACAGAAAGGTGGAGCAGACTGTGAATCAGGTGAAAAAGTATATAACAGACCTTGAATAATGGATAACATTCAGGGCCATGTGAGAAGGGAAGATGCCTTTTTAATCCTCTGATGAGGTAGAGATTAGGGATTTGAATGGTTAAACGATTAATTGTATTTAAACGATTAATTGCTTAACCGGGAAGCCCAGTGATAACCGATTATAGCTTACCAGCTACCATTTAACGTGGGGCAGGGCACAGTCCAGCAGGGAATGGGGGGAAAGGAAGTCCAGCAGGGTACTGGGAGGCAGGGAGGAGCAAGGGTTGGGGGACAAGTCCCTATAGCCAGGGCCGGGTTAATGCATAGGCAAACTAGGGGGCTGTAGGGGGCCCTTCCCTCTGCACCAGTGGAGCAAGTGGCCCCATCCACCTCCCTTTCCTTCCCCTCCCCTCCACTGGACTCGCCACTGCAGTGGCAGCTCCAAGCCCCACTACCCGTGGGCGGCAACACGGGGGTGGGGTGGGGGGAGGTCTCGACTGGCTGGGGGCCCATGAGTTTGTTTGCCTAGGGCCCACTAAAGGGTTAATCCATGAGCCCTGGTGCAGCCGCTTGCAGCCTCCCTGCCACCTGCCACAAGCAGCTTGGGCTCTGGGCAGGCCCCTGCTGCCTGCCACGGAGCCACTCAGTCTCTGCCATATGTCAGGGTGGCCTGGCTAGTGCCAGGCCAGGCAGGGTGCCCCTTAGGGTGGGCCAGAGCAGCACCACATGGGGCAGGCTGGGGGGTTGCCATATCAATTCATGATTTAACTGCTGTAATTGCAACATGTTAAACGGATTTTTTAAAATTTTTTTTTAATCAGCATTTACAACCCTAGTAGAAATGCAGCCTGGAGCTGTCTCACTTGTTGGCCTGCTGGGTTATGATTAAGGAGATGCCAAACTCATTAGCATATCTGGAGGCACAGGATAATCGGGGAAAAAGGATGTGAACACTCAATGCAGTTTTCCATGGGGAGGGGCTCAATGCCAGTGCGTCCCTCCATTGTGCCACATGTACATCTCACTCCCCCATCCCTTTTTGCCAGAGTGTTATACCACCATCCCAAGGAAAAAATGAACACCGCCTGAAACAAAACAAAAGCCCCTGCAACAATAGTCTGTCAGGCATGATTTACTGTGCTAGCATCCAGCAGGCAAGCTTCGTTGAGCAATCTGAATCCGTGGCTTTGCACACGGGTTCGCTCTCCCGCAACGCGACAAAGGGACAAGTAGATGGGCAGTAAATAAAAATGAGGTCTTTTGTGTTACTGTATGGGGGCCTCTCTCTGGGGAGGCAGAATAAATGAAGCATGACATGCGATATGAAATCAATTTCTTCTCTCATGGGAGCTAGGTGAGAAGGGGCTTAGGCTCACTTTATAATGGTGGCGGGGAGACGATACGCAGTTTGGGAGCTGTTAAAGGAGCCTAAACTGGCTCGTCTCTGCAACTTCTCTGTTTCTAACTTCCTTTAGATGTACTTACAGATACTGGAAGACAATCAAGCCCACCTTGACTAGTCTGTCACTAGTCTGCACTTTGGAGTTGCTTAGCAGTATCTGGGACACCACTCAAATAATTCTGCTTTAGGTGGTCAGAGTATATTTTTCAGGCGGGATCTCCAGCTTTTCCATTCTGCAGACCATTTCTCAAAAGAAAAATCCTCTCTGGGACCCATCTATAGTTGGCAGAGTCCATGACTTCATATTACTGTTGCTTGGTTCTTAAACTGTCCTTTGCCATGGACTGTCAGGATGGGCTTTTAATGGACGGATCTCAGTCGGAGATCCATTCCAGTAAAGGACAAACAAGTGGGCCTTGAAGATCATATCCTCAAGCAGAGTAAATCTACACAGCTCCCTTAAAGTCCAAGGGACAGCATGGATTGACATCCTCTGAAGATCTGGCCCTGAATTTTTACAAGCACACCCAAAGGATTTTTTTCCTTTCTTTTAATTCAGTTGATTGCAATTCAACCTGTCTACAATTGGACATATACGGACAAGATTCCACCGTAAATATATACAGATGTAACAGGATGACTGGATCATCTACAGAAGCAAAATGTTCAAACCCTGGATATGGCAGTAAAAAATCTTTTTTTTCATGTATGTAGACATGGTAATCATGTGATATATTGCAGACCGATGTTATACATGAATTTATCACACCTCTTTCACTGGTTCATTTGACCCTTTGCCCCCTAATTCCTTCCCTTAGGGATTTATTTTAATAACCTCAACTCCTGAGCAGATGCAAATCACTGGATGCTAGATTTTGGCTACTGCTGTTAAATCAAACTGCCACAATACATGTGTCCTCTTTACCCTGAACATTTATGAATCTCCATGTCTCCCTCAATCAAGAGCACTTTTCTAAGGTATAGGGAGGTCAAGATTTAGTTATGCACCAGGTAATTTATATGTATATGTGTGTATGTACCCGTGCCTATATGTATGTGTGTGTGTGTGTGTATGTGTATATATGTGCGTGTGTGGTAAGTATGTGTGTGTTTAAATTACTTTAGGACTTAAATGAAGAGTAGAGTTATCAACTCCAATGACTGGATCACATTTTGGCAAGGCTTTTACCTTCTTCCTGTCTCTGCAACCTTTGGAGCCCCTGATTTAATCTTCACTTATCGTCCTAAGCCTTTGTGTTACTGTGCAATGCTAAACAGCTGTCCTGCTCCTCCCCACATAGGGCTGCATTTCATCAGTGACTCGTTACTATTCCACTTTAACCTTACAATACATCACAAGAACATTTCAAGGTTTAATTATGAGGGTCAGATTCATCAGGACACTTGGGCTTTTTTGCAGTACTCTAGCAAAGCAAAGCAACCACTTATTTAGCTGAAGTAGTTGGTTTACAACTGCTTTGTGCATTATTGTATAAAGCAGCCAGAGCATTCTAGTAGTCTTAGCCTTACACATGCATAAAGTGTGCTTTGAGATCATCACCTATAGACCATTATGAAGTCCAGAGGGTTAGTATTATCCAGCATACTGTATTTCACACTGCATCAGTTTAAAAGACCCTGGGACATAACAGAAGTACAGGCAAGGTAATTACTATGTCACTTGAACTGGACAGAGGACTCTTTAATCTGAAAGCTGTCATGTACAATAAAATCAAGCCACTGAAAGCCTTGAGGGCCTACCAGCTTTAGAAATCATTCCCCCCCTTCCCAAGCTTTCTCTGTCATCCTATTGTTACTATCATATCAATGTGTTTCAATCATAAATCCATATTCTTTGGGATTACAGTGTGGCTACTGCTGGTCCCAGAGAAGGCGAGGCCGATGGTACTTTAGCATGTGGTTCAGCAGTGTGAATAATTCAGGGTGTTATATTGCTTCTGCAAGCTACAGCAGCTCGATAGAGGCAGTTGTTTCTCTACTCAGCACTTTGCTAACCCTCTCAACAGATGGAACAGATTAGCCGGGCCCTGCAATGTTGTTAAATAAAATACGCAAAAAGAAAATACAATTACTGCTAAAGTGAAAACATACCGCATGGGATTATTAAAAAAGCAAGATGTTTTACATTTTAAGGATGTTCTTTGGTTTCCTCCCCGTCCTCCCCCCTTTTATTCTGCTGAAGATAGGCACCAGGACCTTGCAAAACTAGTGTCAAACTTTTCCATCTGATCTCATGTAACTTTTACACCGAGCAACCATGTTATCAACCATGGATGCTGGGATGGTTTACTCTGCTCCAACAAGCACCCCTCCAGTACAAGATTGGGTGCTTGGGGAATTGGCTACTGGTTATACCTGCTAAGTGAAGTCCTGGATAGTCTCAGCATCATCTTTGTGCTATGTGTTGGCTCAATGCCTGGAGATGCCCTGTTCTTGACTACAGCAGCCCTATAATGTAAAGTTCTAGCCTGGTCTAAACAGTCATCAAATAGACTGATTAACTGCAAGGGATACAAATCATTCCTCTCAGGCTAGCATATCCATACAAATGCAATGACTGAGGAGAGCAATGGGCAATGAACTTATAAATTCAGCTATGAGACTTTCAAATTTCCTTCCATCATATTTGTTGGCATCCTCTAGGGATTTGATGGCATTTTCCTTGAGACTGGGTCCCTTCCAGATTCTGGTAGGGTGTAATATTGAGTTATTTGAAAAGGTGGCTTTTTCCATGGTACAGGCACCTAAAGAGACTGAACTCTCCACTGACTTGGCACTGTGGCACCATAGTAAGACCAGCTAACTTAGTGTTTGATCCTGCCAGGCACTGATTATTCTGGCCTATGATCCAGAGACTCAAGGTATAGTTATGCATTACATTTAGATCATTCTGAAGGCACTTAGCATGAGTTC